AATTTTTTTTTAGGTATTTCTTCCCCAATTTTTTTTTTATTAAGGCAGTTGGGGTTAAGTGACTTGCTCAGGGTCACACAGCTAGTAAGTATCAAGTGTTTGGTCTGAGGCCAGACTTGAACTCAGGTCCTCCTGACTTCAGGGCCGGTGTTCTGTCCATTGCGCCACCTAGCTGCCCCTCCCAATTCTTTAATCATTTGTGTCTCTTGAATCTATGGAAGGGAGGCTGCCATAAATTCAGTGCACTAGAAAGAGCTCCTTAGTTCTAGAAACTCTGTTCCACAGACATATTTCATAATATCAGACTTTAAAAAAAAAAACCCAAAAAGATACTAAATAAAACCTCCCCCAAGCCAATGGAAACTCACTACAAAATAACCAGAACAAAAACAAAACAAGCAGAGCCGCACAGGCTCCTTTCTGGTGAGCTGCCAATAAAATCATTATTTATTCATTCAATCATCACGCATTTATTCAGAACCTGCTCTATGAAGAGCATTGTGCTAAGGGCAAGAAGAGAGACAAAGATGAAATGAGACGTGACTCCTTATAAGGGTGTAACAGCCCAGAACGGTGATAGGACACGTAAACAGCTAGAATGTATCCTTAAGTAAGAGAGGTACAAAGTACATCAAGATATCTGAGATGGCTGTGCAATCTTGGGAAGTCACTTAATCTCTATGTACCTCAGCTTCCCCATCTGTAAAATCGAGTTGGCCTAGATCTCCAAGGCCTATTTTAGCTAGTTCTGAAAGGAGAAAGATCATACTGCCTGTGGGAGTGTATGTTGGGGAGCTGGGGGTCCAGGATGGCTTCATTAAGGAGGTGACATTTGATCTGAGCTTTGAAGAGTGAGCAGAGTTTCATCAGGCAGAAGCTGTGGGGAGTGGGGAAAGGGGAAATCCTCAGACTCGATAATTTAGTGCTCTTGCTTGTGCTCATACATGCTTACTGAATTTAATTTTGGAGAGACTGAGTATTGGTTCCCCCAGGATCGTAGATCTCAAGCCGGAAGGAACCCCAGAAGTCTTCTGGTTCGACCTTTTTGTTTTGCCGATTAGACGACTGAGACCCAGGAAGATCAAATGACTTGTCCAAGGACACAGGTAGTAAATGGCGGAGCTAGTATTTGATATCAGGTCCTGTCATTCCAAGTTTGGTTCTTTCTTTTGCACCATTTTGATATTTAAGCATTTTTGTAAGTAATTTAGGATCATTGGGTATACACAATCATTTATTTGAATGGAGATTTGGCTTTTCAAAGATGTTTAGAAATTAATACTCTATCATAGGTTCATTTTTACTTATACTTTTTAGATGGGGATTTTGGCTTGTCCATTCCTTGTCTCTTTGTTCCCTGTTCTCTTTACATTCTTGTTGGAGCCTCCATTGAAACTGCACTGAAAGATCACTGCCAGGTACTACTGTGTGACCTTGGAGAAGTCACTTCTCTCCCCATCCCCCACTCCCATGCCTTAGGTTCCTCATCTGTAGAAGGAGAAGATTGGTCTGAATTATCTTTGAGGGCACTTCTAGCTCTAATTGATTCAGTTGAGGTGTGTTCTAACGTGATAAAGGTACCAAGGCATAGCAGCCTGTCACTTTAAGTGTGATGGGGCAACTTGATTGTTGGCTCAAAGGACTCATACCCTCACATAATGATGCTATATATGGCCAAAGTGACATTTTTCCTCAGGCAAAAGACTTAAATATGAAAGCAGCTATTTCTTATATCTTTATTTCTTAAACCTTCTTATATCCCATGTCCTAAGGAGTTTATTTCCTTTTTTGAAGCTAGAACTTGGAAAGTAACAATTCAGGATTGGATGAATCAATTGTGTGTCAGTCTTGGATGAATTTAATGAGTGACTGGCTATAAGGTCTTCTGCATGCTTTCCATATACTATGTGGAGTGTCTTTTGAGGAAATGGAATCCCAGGAAAGTGGCTTGCTCACAGAAGTTCTGCAAAGCTGACCATTCTTCACTTTCTGGATCATTTTATATGTCCCCTCAGAATTTAGAATGGACATACCTTATGAGCTGGAAACTTTTGTCCATTCTATATAATTCCCAGTAGAGGGTTAGTTGATTATGGGAGTTAGTGTTTTCATTGGCAGAGGGAACTTCCAAAGCACGTTTTCTATAACTTACAAGTAATGGAGAGTTTTCTTAGAGGTTATGTGACTTGGCCAGTGTGTTTCAGAGGTAGGTCTTGAACCCAGATTTTCCTGCTTCTAGGCCAGCTCTCTGTCTACTAAAGCCATGCTGCCTCTCAAAAAAAGAAATACTAGTAATTCAAGAGACCCTAATTCCTTGACTCCTTTGAAGATTTTTTCTTTTTTTTTCTCCTTTCATGCATATACTTTATTGACAATTTCTGTTAAAGTATTATTTTTTTCTTTCACTTTTCCCTCTCTTATTTGCACCTCAGAAAGTTCATTTGTTCCTTTTCATTTGACTTTGATGAAATTTATGCATCTTTTGGCCAGCTGAAGAAAGACTCTTGCTGTTAGCTTTCCAGTGCTAGCTTTGTATGCAAAATCCAGATGGACCAGATTTAACCCATGTTAAATAGTTAGTGTGTGTGGTGCCTGGAAAGCATAGCAAACTCTGAGACGCTTTGTCTATGAGATACACAGATAAGTGAGTAACTGATTTTGAAGGGAATTTAAATCCTTCAGCTAGAATTTTCTTATTCCTTTTAGTGGATAGTTAAGATTTCATCAAGCACTACTCATTTCTAATCAGTTCTCTGTTCTATGACTTAAAAGGGAATAAGGGCAGGAAGGGAAAGGAAGGGAATAAGCATTTACATAGCACCTACTATTCTTTCTTTTCTTTTCTTTTGTTTATAAACCAGTACCTCATTTGATTCTCATAACAACCCTGAGAGATAGGGGCTATTATTATCCCAATTTTACAAATGCAGAAACTGAAGCTAACATATTAAGTGACTTACCCAGAGTCATACAGCTAGTAAGTGTCTAAGGCTGATTTGAATTCATGTCTTCTTCACTCCAGGCCCAAAGTTCCATCTACTGGGCCACCAGTTATCTCAAAAAGAGAAAAAGTTTTATTGATGACTTTTGTGTCTAAATCATAAGAATTTCATTTTGCCCCCTCAGACTGAGTCCTCCCCTTGGAACAAAAGAAAAATAATTAAGCAGACCTGATACAGTGATAAGATAATGTATGATAACCTGTACAGCATTTTGTCCTTGTTGTCCCCCACCTCTCTGCCATGAGGGAGGAGATATATTTCATTGTCTGTTCTCTAGATCCTTCGTTGCTTTTCAGTTGCTTGGAAGTCATTCTGTATATTGTCCTCTTGATCCTGATTTTTTGCACTGTTCATTGAAGTCTTTCCATATTTCTCTAAATCCCTCACGATCCTCAGTTCTTGCTGCACAATAATATTCCATTATGTTAATATAACAGCATTTTCCTAGCCTTTCCTCAATCAGATTCTCTAGCCCTTTGCTACTGCGTAGAGTGCTGTGTTTTTTTGTCTATACTAGGCCTTTGTGTCTTTGATTTTGTTGAGGTATATGCCAAGTAATGGCATTGTTGGATCAAAGAGAGTGGACAGTTTGTAGTGATATTTCTTGCGTGATTCCAAAGTATATTCCAGAATGGTTGGACTGTTTCATAGCTACACCCACAGTAGGCATCAGTATTAATGTTTTCCTACATTCCCCCCCCCAACATTAATTGTACCTATCTTTTGTCAGCTCTGACAAATTTGCTATATATGTATAGCCCAGAGTTGTTTTAGTTTGCTATTTTCTTTATTATTAATTTCTTTATTGTTATTTGTTTTATTTTAACATTATTAATAATTAATTTACTATAATTAATTGTTTATTATTAATTTGGACTGTGCTTTCAATGTGATCATTTATAATTTGCAATCAGTTTTAAAATTGTTCATAGCCTTTAATCTTTTATTTACCAGAGATTGACTTTTAGTATTATTTATCTTGATTTTTTTTCTTGATCAGTCATCCTTAAAGGACGGTTCCATAAGTACCACAGTTCTGCACATTGATATTACAGTTGTTTAAAAGCTTTGAAGGGTGGATCAAGTTCCATAGATTAGAAGGAAAGTTTCAGAGCCATCATGGATCGTGCATTCCTTTCATCTGTTTTTGATGTATATAAGATAGGTCTTCTTGCTTAGGGATGCTTACCAAGAGCCCTATATGCAAAATTTCTAGTCTTGTATATATCCATATAGATAAATTCAACAGTAGTTGCATTCCAAATAAGCAAGTTTCCTCTTACCCTTCGTCATTTGTTAAGAAAACAGAAAAATAATAACACATCTTCATCATATGGATGCCTGGGGACCATGTCAAGGGTCGGAACTGACTCAACATTTCACAACCAGCTAAGTGTAGAGGCCCAAAGGCAGTACAGTTATCCCTTCCTTATCACGACTTTCCCCACCATGGTTTCGATATATCACAAGTTGGCATAAGAAATTAAATGGGAATTTTGGGGGAGTTTTGCAGAAGCTGCAGACAACATGTGAAGACCAGGAGATGACACAGAAAAAGTTTAGAAACTCAGAAATGCATAAAATATATGTATAGTATTGTATAATATCAACCCAAATTTCATAATAAGGTACTGTTTACGCCTCATGAAAGAAAAAGAAGAAATTCAGACTTCTTTTCTGGTATGAAAGGAGGGCCAAAAAATTCATGCAGATTTTCCAATTTGCAGGGGTGCCACACCCCTAACCCCTGCAATGTAAAAGGGATAACTCTAGTGTCTCAGCATCATTATAGGTTAACAGTTAAAAGTTTTGAATCAGAAGCTATTCACAATAATTACCACAAGTTAATGAAAGAGAAAAGTAACTGTCAGTGAGACATAAGCCACTATTCTCAGATTGCAAAGGGTGTGGATGTAAGTTGAGAATAAGATGCTTTTGTTTGGCCTCTTTTGGATTCAATGATTGATTAATGTTGTCTGTGTTCCTGTTTCTTTCCAGAGTTGACCTGTCCTGAATGCACTATAACTAACGAACAAAGCTGCTGCAGGATGAGAAGATGGCAGCTCGGCTGCTTGCACCACCAGGCCCTGATAGTTTCAAGCCTTTCACCCCTGAGTCCCTGGCTAACATTGAGAAGCGAATTGCTGAGGACAAGATTAAGAAGCCACCAAAGCAGGATGGCAGCCACCGGGATGATGACGAGGACAGCAAGCCCAAGCCAAACAGTGACTTGGAGGCAGGAAAGAGTTTGCCTTTCATCTATGGGGATATCCCACAAGGCCTTGTTGCTGTACCACTGGAGGACTTTGATCCATACTATTTGACACAGAAAGTGAGTTGGAGGAAGAGAAGCCTTGGACACCCATTTCTGGGTTGGAGGCAGGACTAACAGGTGTATGGGAATGGGAATGGGAAGGCATCTTAACCTCTTTGCCACAGGTTGGAAAAGATGGGAAAATGTTCTCTTTCTCCTGGTTCTTATGTGTATGATAGATGTTTGGCAAGCAATAAGAAGGGGAAATGGTGATTACATAGAGTCATCATGTCTTCATCAAGAACAGCTCATGCCACACTAACCTGATTCTCTTTGTTGGTAAAATTACTAAGCTAGTAGATGAGAGAAATTAAAGTTTATTAACGTTTTAGCAAAGCTTTTGGTAAAGTATTGTCACATTGTTCTTGTGGAGAAAGGTGACTTGTGGATTAGATGATAAACTGAATTGATGGATTCAGAATGGTTTAGATAGCTGTAGTAATGGATCATTGTCAGCAGGGCAGGGGTGGGATCTGGGTTTGCTTGATATATTAAATAATACTCTTGTGCTATTTGATTTTTTTTATCAATGACTTGGATAAAGAAATTGACGACACACTTACCAAATTTTCAGATGACATAAAGTAGGGGCGGGGATGGGTTAGTGCATTGAGTTGGATCAGTTAAAGTGAAATTCAGTAGGGATAAATGTAAAATTTTACTCTTGGGTTCAAGAAATCAATTTCACAAATATAAGGGGAGGAGGCATGGTTCTAGAAAAGATCTAGAGTTTTTAGTAGGCACTGGAGAGGAAGGTATTAAATCAAATTGTTTTAAATGCACTATAAAAGCTCCCTATTTAAAGCAACCCTGGAGTAAAATGTTGGCTGCATTGGGAAACACGGCTTCCAGGAACAGGGAGGTGCTAGTCTCACTGTACTCTGCCCTCATCACATCTATCTGGAGTATTGTGTTTAGTTCGGGTTACCACAGTATAAGAAGGATATTGATCATTTGGAAAATATCCAGAGAAGGGCAACCTAGATGATCAAAATCTTTGCATCCATGTCATAAGAATTAATTGAAGGAGGTAGACATGTTTAGCCTGGAGAAGAGAAAGAATATGAGAGCTGGCTTCAGGTATTTGGAAGGCTGGCCTGTGGAAGGATTTGATGTGTTCTCTTTGGATATAGAGTGCAGAACCAGGAAAGACGTCCATTTAGGCTTGAGGTAAGGACAGACTTCCTAATAGTTAGAACTGTCCAGAAGTAGATGGGCTACCTTGGGAAGCAATGGGCTCCCTCTCCTTGGAAGGCTTCAAATAGAGACTAAATTCTAATTCTCAGTTAGCTAGTGAGGTCCCTTTCAACTCCTAGATTCTTTGATATTCACTTTTTAAAAACTTAATTTTGAATTTGTGTTATGAATATGAAAGATGCCTTTGAGCTTTCCTTCTGTGTTGTTGGTTAAAGTAGGTTATCATGGGGCAAAAAAGTTTCTTGACAATAAATGTGACGATTTTCAATTTTATAACTTTTATCAGATTTCTTTTTCTGCCTGACATTTATTCAGAATGTTTGTCTGTCTCATTCTCTCTCTCTCTTCCTCCTTCTCTCTTTCCTCTTTCTTCTTCTCCTCTCCTCCTCCTCCTTTTCTTCCTCTTCTCTCTCTCTCTCTTTCTCTCTCCTTCTTCCCTTCCCTCCTCCCTCCCTCTCCGCCCTTCTCTTCCTCCCTCCTCTCTGTCTTTCTCCTCATTCTGCCTCTGTCTCTTCTTCAGTTTTCAGGAGTTATAAAGTCCTAATTCAGGTAAAAATGGCCAATTGTTTGAGTTTTTAAGGTGAGAATTCAGTTTTAGCAGTAGAGGGATACATCAGACTTTTTGAATGATGGTCTTCTAAATGGGAGTTGTAATAGCACCTGCAGCCCAGGATTATTGTGAGGATCAAATGAGATAATAATTGTAAAAACCGCTTAGTATATGACACATAGTAGATGCTATATAAGTGCTTATCCTCTTTTCTTCCACTCACTTCTGAAACTCTTGCTCATACATAAAAAAAAATATTAAAATACTATAGCTGGAGTCCAGCTTTCCTTTGTGCACCATTTCACTGGTTTTCCAGCCTCCTGCTGCTGCTTTTAGTTTACAACACCTTAGCAGTATGTCTGGGCAGTGGAAACTGTTCAGTGGTCCCAGAGAATACAGATCTTGGAATCCCTGACCAGTTTTACTTGTTGGCTGGGGGAGATGTGATGCTGGTAGAGCTGTGCTATGGAGGCAGTTTTATATGAAAGAACATTTGGCTTCTTTTTCCTTATCATTAACATTGAAAAATGTACTCAGAAGTAACCAACGCATTGTACTTTCAAGCCCCAGCTTTTTCACTAGTTTTTTGTTTTGCTTTGTTTTTTTCTTTTTTTTAAAGAAATCTCTATGCTTTCTGAAATTTTAATTTCAGACTTTTATTGATCCCATGTATCATGTCTTTCTAGCCAGGATTTTCTTTCAGCCTGGCATCTGTCTAGAAAACAGAGAAATTAGCCCCCCAGTCAAAGACTCATGAGGCTAGAAAGCACTTAAGTAAGATTGCCAGGCTCAGACCCTCCCTGATAGAGCCTCATCCTTCTCTCAGCTAAAGCAGGAGCTCTTTTCACTAAGTCTGCAGTCTCAGTCTGCTACTAGGCTTTGTGATTCTCTCAGTCTAAATTTTCCGTGTCTTAGAGTACTTTGGCTTTGCTAGAATCTTTCTGTTAGCCATATTAGTCAACCAAACTTACTTCTTCCTGTGTGTTGGTATTGTCTTCTTCTGTTTCTATGCTTGGTGAGCATATGACCTCCCTAAGGCACATGGAACTTTCCTGTTCCATGGTTCTTGGTCTCTTCACATGGGTAGGAATGGGAAGGGTGAAGGCTCTCTTGCTTCTCGTTTCCTAAACCTTCTTCAAGTCTCCAAACTTGATTTTCTTGATTGATTGATTTTTTGCCCTTCCTTTAAATGACATATCTCAAATTTTATCAGTGTATAAGCATTTCCTCCAAGCTTGCCTTCCATATAGTAAACTTGATTGATTTTTCCTGACTTGAGTTTGAAATCAAAGACTACTTCCCTCCCTCCCCCTGCCTTTCCCCACCTTTACCTTCTGGCCAAGTGATGCCTTCTAAATTTTTTTTTAATCAAAAAATACTTTCCAGGCAACACTAATGCCTTCTTAAATTTTATTCAGTCAGCTGTATTATTTCCAGTGATTGCTTGGGTAGTTGGAATTCTGTGAATCTTAGCCACTTCAGTAAGATGATCAAAGAAAGTTGTGCTGAAGTTCTGTGGAATTAAAAGCTAATATTAACAAAATAGTAACAACAACCACAATAATAGCAATAATAATAACAACAATAGCTTGCATTTACATAGTGCTTTAAGGTTTGCAAAGCACTTTACAAATGTTATTTCATTTTATCTTCTTCACAGCAATCATGGGAGATGGCACTATTATTATCCCCATTTTACAGATGAGAAAACTGAGTCATAAAGAGACTATGTAACTTGACTAGGTTCATACAGCTAGTAAATGTCTGAAGCTAGATTTGAATGCAGTACTTCTTGACTTCCAAGTCCAGAGCTCAAAAAAAAACTATCTCCAAGTACCTCATTTCAACTTAAACTCATAGTCTTTTTGCTTGCCCCTTTCCTGTTTCCTGAACCTGGTAACTAGTATCTATATCCTTTCTATCACAAAGGTGTTGCCAGGCATAAGTGTGATATGCAAATAACCCAAATTCCAAACAGAAAAAATTGAGAGCAGTTTTACAATTCACATTGTTGATAGATTCATTCCAAAGTTCCTTTAAGTAGGGAACTTCTCTAGTACATTCAAAATATTTTTGTTTACAGCTTTCCACTCTGTTGTCTCTTTATGGTGTGGTGTCTCTTTATGTCTGAGTCAGTAGCAGGCTAGTCCCTGCAAACCCTCTGAAGCTGGGAGGCTTCAAGTCCAGCAAATGGACTGAGTGTTTGTTGTTCAAAGGCCAACCTAGTTAAGTTAGGAGAAGTTCATCACTGGATTGGCTGTCAGGGGATACATTTTCCAGCCATATTATCTCATTAAGACAATTTACTAAGGTGTTGAAAGGTTGCCATCGTAGTTGAGAGGAATAGGTACATATATCATAGATTTTTGAAGTATTGGAATGCTGGCTGACAATATTTTATGTTGCAGGAGGGGTTCTTAACCCAGGGTCCATGGATTACCGAAGAGTCTGTGGATAGCTGTCAGGGAGCCATGAACTTAGATGCAGGGGAGTTGGGGGAGAAGAGGGGAGGGGAAGGCCATCTTTATTTTTCACTAATCATTTTTCACTTCCTTTGTGATCCTATATACATTTAAAAACATTATTCTGAGAAGGGGTCCTTCCTTAGACAACCAAAAGGTTAAGAATGTCTGATTTACACCTTTTTAGGGGGAAAAAACTTTTATTACATGAAGTAAAGGATTCTTGTGTATATTTATAAGTATAATTTATATATAGTATGTATATACTTATGTGTGTGTGTATTTAATATATACAGTGCAAAATTGTCATACCCAAACACTTCACCTATCCCTTCCTTGGTCCCCTTTTCATCTCTCCTTCCCAGTTTTTCCCCTTCAACTCTTGTCTTATTTCTTTTTATAGCTTGTCAGGAGAATATGTAGTCAAAAAAATGGAACTGCGTTTTGATTTCTGTTCCTGAGTAACCCCTGGAATTTGTTAGATCTTTGAACTCTTTTTCTAGGAAAAAAGAAAGTAGAGGAATCTTAAGTATTGAACAAAATAATTTGGGCATAGCTTGAGAATATTATTGCTAGGAGAACAGCATTTGAGTTATCTGCAGAAACATGGACTTCCAATCAGAGCTGTGTAATAGCCTTGGACCCCAGAATTGTGCATTTAGAACTGGAAGTGGTGGTAGAGGTTATCTACCCCAATCCCCTTATTTTGCAGATAAGGAAACTGTAGTCTAGAGAATTTAAGTAACTTTCTCAAGGTCACACAAGTCAAAAGTTTTTATTAGGTAAAGTGAAGTATACTTGTGTGTAGA